GCACTCACACCCCACACACAGGCACACATGCACACAAGCACCTCCCCATATGCACACATATACACAGAGGCATGCAAGCAAGCACACTCAAAATTAAAATATAATTAAAAAATTGAGGTGGAGAATGTATGATGTTGATATGTAGGCACAATAAATAAAAAATAAACAAATGTTAGTTCAATGACTAATAAAAGGCTGGATGAAGAGAAAAGGTCCCCAAGAGGCTGACTGGGCCATCTCCCTGCCTGTGAATGATGGAGGGGACAATGAGATCTGTAAAGAAGAATATGAACAGGACCAACAAGGGAAAAATTGCCTCTCCTCATTCTTTCCTCTTGCTGCATTCCCTCTTTCAGCCATGCTCATTCTCCCTCCACAACTTTCCTGCAGCTCTCAGAGTCCGCAATCATGGCCTCAGTCGAGACACCCAGCCCCACATCCTAAAGTATTGCAGTTATCAGGCTGTTGCCTAAAAACTCTGTAAAGAGGAATGTTCTGATTGGTTCAGCTTGTGTTACTCCGCCCATGAATGGAATATCTCTGATTGATCTATCTGGACAGTGTGCCTGTCCTTGTGGCTATAAGAGTAGAGTCTACTAGCAGACAGGCTACTAGCAGAGGACACCCACACCCTCCTAACGCAGGGCTCTCCTATTTCCTTGTGTCCAGGTGGAAGTTCTGGCGCTTGGGGATCTGCAAGGCATGTGTCCCCCTGCAGAAAGCCTGGAATGCCTTCTCCCGACCTGTCCCAGCCAGCTGTAGTGAACTATTGACACAGCTGCTCCTGTGTATTTCCCTGGCCAGTGTCATTGCAGTCCTGGCTCATCACTGGCTGGTCTCTTCACAGCTTTATCCTCAGGGTCCCTCTGCTCTGGTGACCACTGTCTGTGGCCTCCTGGTCTTCCTGAGCCTGGGCCTGGTGCCCCCTATCCGATGCCTATTTGCACTCAGTGTGCCTACCCTGGGCTCTGAGCAAGGCCGCCGGTTGCTCCTGTCCTACAGTGTAGCCAACCTGGCCGTGGCTGTGGTACCAAATGTCATAGCCAATGTGGTTGCAGCTGGGCGAGTGCTGAGCTGTGTTACTGAGGGCTCATTGGAGAGTCTGCTTAACACCACTTACCAGCTGAGCCTGGCATCCCAGGCACTGGGCCCAGCCAGCCAAGCAGGCAGCCGGAGCCTGGCATTTGAGACACAGGGCAACGGTTCAGCCTTCCGCCTTCATGTGCACATGGTCACTCAGAAGATCCTGGAAGACTTCTCTAGCCTGGAGTTCCTGGCTCGGGCAGCGCTGGGGGCTCAGCGGGTGGTCACCGGGCTGTTTATGCTGGGCCTCCTGGGTGAGTCCGCCTGGTACCTTCACCGCTACCTCACTGACCTGCGCTTCGACAATATCTACGCCACTCGGCAGCTGGTTCAGCAGCTGGCCCAGGCTGGTGCCACACATCTGCTGGCCTCTCCACCTCGCTGGCTGCTCCAAGCGGCCCAGCCAAAGCTGTCGCAGGAGGAGTTGCTGAGCTGTCTCCTAAGGCTGGGGCTACTGGCGCTGCTCCTAGTAGCTACAGCTGTGACAGTGGCCACAGACTATGGGGCCTTCCTCCTGGCACAGGCAGCTGTGGCCTGGGCTCAGAAGTTGCCCACTGTCCCCATCACACTCACAGTCAAGTATGATGTAAGTGCAAGGAAGGGAATGCTCTTGGAATTATTCAGGCGGGAGGGGTCTGCGCAGTACTGACTGGGCTTTCATCTGTTTGCTTGTCTCTGAGTCGTCATCCTTGGACATGCCTAGGCATCATAGACATGATGTGGAGGCATGAAGGACAAGAGAGCAGAGAAACGGAATACAGGAAGGGGCCAGGGCAACTTTCAGCCCCCAGCCACCCCCAGTGACTGTTCCTCCAGCTGGGTCCCACCTCCTACTTTTTCAGTTCCTTCCAACAGGCCTCTGTGTTGTAGACCCATCACTGAATCCAATCGATTAGTATGGAGCCCCCATTAACTAATCCTCCCTGAAAACACCGTCACAGACACACCCAGAGTATACATTGCTGATGTCCTGGGTGTTCCTCAACCCCATCAAGCTGATGAGACCGTCACAACATTAAAAGAGTTGATTATTGATTGGTGGAGCTGTTTTTGCCTTTTTTTTTTTTTTTTATGACAGGGTTTCACTATGTAGTCTTGAGTGACCTGGAACTCGATAATGCAGAACAGGCTGGCCTCGGAAATCATAGAGATCCACCTGCCTCTGCCTCCTGAGTGCTGATGTTAAAGGCGTGCGCCATCACTCCTGGTGTATCCAGTGACTGGGGGGAACCCAGGGCTCCCTGCGTGCTAGGCAGTCAGTCACTCTTCCCTCTGGGTCATTGATACACCCCCAGCTTTAATTAGTTTTCTCTAAAATATTTTTGTAGCGTGAATTCTAATTGCTCTTAATAATAAAAACTCAGAGTCAGCTATCAGGGGCTGAAAGCTGAAGGATCAGAGAAGTCGAGCAGCCAGCTCTGCTAGAGTTGGCTAGAGTTCTTGCCTCTACCAATGCTCAGACCAAAGGGGTGATCCTGTTCTCAGACTGCTGCCTCAGACTGCCTGCTTCAGACTGCTTGCTGCCTCAGACTGCCATGAGCTCCTGTCTCCTCCGGCCTAGCAATATCTCTCCTGTCTGCACCTCCCAAGTGCTGGGATTAAAGGCCTGTGATCCCAAGTGCTAGGATCACCTTTGTGTGAGCGGTTTCTCTTTTAGACTGGATCAGTTTCTTGCAGCCCAGGGTGGCCTTGAATTAACAGAGATCTGTCTGTCTCCCGAGTGCTGGGATTAAAGACATGCACCACCACTGCCTGGCCTCTATGGCTGACTAGTGTGGCTGGCTTTGCACTCTGATCTTCAGGCAAGCTTTATTTGTTGGATCATAAACAAAATATCAACACATACTTTTCTCAAAGGTAGTAAGATTAAGAGGGGTAACATTTGTATGGTGCTGCTTTGCTAGCTCCTAAGTCAGTCTCCCCTCCCTCGACCCGTTCTGTAGGGGCAGGGATAGGGAATGGCCTGATGGTGCCTCTGACTCAATCCTTTTCTCTGTTTTGAAGGCCTCGTATTCGCTACTAGGCTTCATCCTCTTCGTCCTCAACCAGCCTCCGGTGGAGAGCGTGTTTGCCTCAACACAGCGCTCCTTCCAGTGGGAACTGTACTTCATGCCCCACGACTGCCACCTGCCTCAGGCTCAGCCGCCCCGAGTCACCGCCGCTCTGGCCGCGGGCGCCCTGCAGCTGCTGGCGGGCGTCACCTTAGTGCTGCAGGCCTATGCTTGGCGCCTGCGGCATGCCATCGCCGCCTCCTTCTTCCCAGCTCAGGAAGCCAGGAGGATTAGCCATTTGCAGGACCGGCTGCAGAGGAGACATGACCGGAGTAACCGCCTGGATAGACAGGCCTGCACCATGGGCACCTGGGGGCCCAGGGAGCCCGGGCTGGAGACAAGAGCTCCGGAATCACAGGGACCTCAGTCGCTTGGCTCCTCTTTGTCCTTCGTGTGACCTTGGGTAGGTCATTGAACATCTCAGAGCCTCGGTTTCCGTATCTACATAACGATCATCCATGGCAACTGTGATCTGCTTTTCATGTCGGATGTGTGCGAATCGTGGCGAGTGTAAGGCCTGGAAGAGTGAGGAAAGGCGTGGGTGCAGTAAATAGGCTTGGAAGTTCGGGAGGACCAGGACAGCTCAGTTCCTTCCCGCTAAATGGAGATTGCCCCCTTAACGTCACGTGGAGATTCTGCCTGCGGATTGGCCTCAGCACTCCTCCGACTTAGAAGCCTCTGAATCCTTAGGATTTACAGTAATCAGAAAGTTTTTGTTTATAAGTGAATATATTTATTAAATATAAGAGTAGAGGGTTTTGCTGTTTCCTGTTCTTTTGGAGCCATCTAGGCTCTTCAAGTTTAGTAAAAAAACATACAAGATGCTCTGCTCAGTTTTGAATGTGTCAGAGAAGGGGCACATTTGTTCAGTATCTGGTCACCCTTGGCTATGAACCTGGCCTCTGGTTGCCCATGTGTGGCCTTGAGTTCCCCATAGTAAAATAATAACAATAGTAACAAAATGACAAATTCAAGTTTTTGTTGACTTTTGGGATTGGCGAGTCAGGCAAAACACTCCATTCAGTAAAAGAGGATCAAATGTCCTGAAGACTGAACAAAGGAGTTGGCTCTGTGGAGGGGGTGTGTGAGACAGAAAAGCACAATGGGAAATGTAAGGGGTATTAGCCCCAAACCCTATTTTCACAGCCTCAGTACCACATATACATGGGTGATGAACCACATCGCTACAACGGATTCTTTAGCATCTGCTAAAGATGTGGTTTGAATGAGAATGGCCCCCATAGGCTCATATATTTGAATGCTTGGTCCCCAGTTGGTGGAACTGTTTGGGGAGGATTAGGAGGTGTGGCCTTGTTGAAGGAGGTGAGATGCTGGGAGTGGGCTTGGAGGTATCAAAAGCCTCACACCATCCCCAATTAGCTCTCTCTGCTTTGTGCTTGTGGATCAAGAGGTGAGCTTCCAACTCCAGCACCAGAACCATGCCTGCCTACTTGCTGCCATGCTCCTTGTCATGATGGTCATGGACCCTAACCCTTTGGAACTTTAAGTCCCAAGTGAATGTTTTTCTTCTGAAAAGTAACTAAGATGGCATCATTTCTTTTCTTTCTTTTTTCTTTGTTTATTTTGTTTGGTGATAGGGTCTCATGTAGCCAGGCTGTTGTAATTTAAGAAAAGCAGCACACAAGAGAAACATGCCATAAGACAGGGTGCAAGCAGAGGGGTTTTTATTAGAGAAAGGGATCGTAAAAAGGGGAGGGGGGAGACCAGCCTCCAGGGACAGAGCAGCTGGAGAGAGAAAAGAGGGACAGAGAGAGAGAGAGAGAGAGAGAGAGAGAGAGCGAGAGAGAGAGAGGGATGGAAGTGGGCAGGGCCCTTTTAGAAGGGAACATAGTGAATGTGCACAGGTGGTGCTCTTAGTGTCTGCAGCTGAGGGCGCATCCTGTCAGAACCCCAAGGACAGGCCAGTACAGATGCCTAAATACTAACACAGGCTGCCCTCAAACGCACTATATAGGCAAGGGCAACCTTGAACTTCTTGATCCTCTTGCTTCTACCTCCCAAGTGCTAGAATTACAGCTAGCCCAGAGCACACAGCAGAAAAGGGGGAGAGTCAGCCTCAATCAAGGGGAAGGTGAAAACCGGCACCAGAGGCTGTCCTCTGACCTCTGCATGTGTGCTGTGCTGCCCATGTTCCCAGAGGTGCACAGAGGATCATGTGTGTGTACATACCCACACACACACACTTGCACTCCTGAACTCACAGCAGCTGTGGTTGCCTACACAAAATAAACGTATCAACATTCTGGAATGGATTGGGGAGGGACACACAAGGCCTCACTCCTAGTTGAGGAGCTATTAGCAGCCAATGGCTACTGGGGGGGGGTCCTTTTTCTTCAGGGTTGTGGCTCTTGGGGGGTTGCCCATACTCCAATGGACGGCCCCCCACTATGCACTTACTGGCATCACTAATTGGATTTGTGATGCATTTGTAATTCCCCAAGAATAAATTAAAGTATTTTAATAAATAAATAAATAAATAAACATAATAGAGCAGGGCTGGGCCCAGAACAGGTCTCTGGAAAGTTGATGGGATTAATAAGTGAGCGTTCAGTGAATGAAGACTTGCCTTTGCCCTAACACAGAGCCCTCTCAGAGATTTAGCTCCCATCTTAGCAAGTCTGAAGTGTAGACGACTCACAGGGGATCCTTGTTTGCCGGCCACAGAAAGTATCTCTGGGTGTTAGGAAGGCCCAGGACCAGCAGAGCCCTGGAGACCCATGTAGCAGGGATCACGGGCAATCTTTACAGCACCCATGCCAGGACGAATCAGTCTCCCATTCTGCTCACGGTTCAAGTTCAGACTCATGACATGCTTGGTTTAGGTCACACGCCCTCACCTTGGGTAGGAAAAAGATGGGCCATCATTTTGTGGATGATCTTGATAGTTTTACTGGTTGAGTAAAGCTCTGTCTAGTAGGTTCTTCTCATATGAAATCAGTGAGTCCTTGGGTGCTGTGCAGTGCATAGCCTGTGGGAGCACGTATGCAGCATCCTCCAGTAAAGGCTGGGGTAGCCCTGCAATGGAAAAGTGTTATCAGAACAAGATGCCAGTTTCATGAGGCCAGGACAAAATAAGAATCCCCACAAATTACTTGACTCACATTAACGGCAGATGGATACATTGTATGAAGTATCAGGAAGAGTTAGAGCCTTCTGCTAGAGCCTTCTGCGGCTCTCCTGTCACCAGGCCTTCTTGATTAAGACCCCCCTCAGCTACTGAGACTTCACACAGAGGCCTTCCTAGCTAATGAAGTTCATGGGGAGCCTCCGAGGAAAAGTTGGCTGGGGATACGTCTGCCATCTAGTGGTCACTGTGGGAAACCGCATCGCTCCATCCTTGTGTTCCGTTCCTAATGGAGACCGTTGATCCTAAATTCAAGGTGAGCACAGGCTACAGAGTGAAACTACCTCAAAATCAAAACAAGACATTTTTGGAATGTTGCTACATACCTTTATACACAAGTTTAATCATTTCCTTAAGATTCTCCGGAATTGTTAGAATAAAAGGCATATGATCTCCAATTTGGGTGCAGAGTGTGTCCTCCTAGAAATGTGTCAGGAATGACAGCCCTACTCAATCTGACAAGGAACGTTTTTCCAATCCCATGGACAAGCTGATTTATTTTTACCGAGCTAGCCTGCCAGAAATGTATGTAGTTTTAAAAGCATTTTTCACTTCTTTGACCATTACTTCATATATATACATGTAAAGGTATATATATCCACACACACATATATATGGCTAATTTCTAATTCATTTTCAAGTCTTCTATTTAATTTTCTTGTTCATTCCTTACTCCCCCTTTTAAAAAATAATTAAGATGCTAATTTTAAATGGTTTCTAAAAGCACTGTTAGTAAATTGAGGGCATTTTAACATTTATTATGTTTAGACACCAATAGTATTTCCCCCATACATTTGCTTTTGAAATCCATCTTTCCCCAAAGACATTTCAGTTTCCTTTTTTTAAAAAAACTTTATTTACTTGGTATGCATATGTGTATACATGCCACTGGCAGAATGCCAGGCCACACAGGTGGAGCTCATTGGACAACTTGCTGGAGTTGGTTCTTTCCTTCCACCATGCGGGTCCCTGGATCTAAGCCATCAAACTTGTTGGCAAGTGCCTTTATCCCCTGAACCGTCTCCAAGCCCTAACATGTATTTATTGGTCCATAACAAACCATCCCCAAAACTTGATGGCTTAAGATGATGAAATTGGTTATTTAGTTTATCTTACATGCTTACTGGTTTGATTGTGTGGCTCTGCTTCATGTGATTCTCTGTGCAGCTGAGGCCACCCAAGGACTTGACTGCATACAGTGCTCACATTGGCTCACTCCTTGAGGCTGAGGTTATGACAAGGGTACCTGGAAGGTGAGGCATGGCTGGGTTGCTGGGAAAAATTCGCCTGTTTCTCCACGTTGCCTCTCTCTCTGCTTCTTTTGGTTTCCGCTTAATCTCTGATAACTAGGTAACTAAAGTCTTGCACAGTCTCTAGGAACATTACAGACAAACCTGACTGCCAAGCATCACAAGTTGGTTTTCTGAAACCAGCAGTGTCCCTTCTGACGTCCCTTTATTTAAAATCACAACACAGCCACATTGGATGTGGCAGCCAATATCCAAGCATTGAATCCCTGGAACTCTGGCTCACTGAGAGCCCTCTCTCTGCCTCTGAACCTCAGGGTTTCTTTTGCTATTAATGATAACAGACAACTGTGTCAGAAACCTCCAGGCCTTCCAGTGAGTAGACATATTACATAGCATTACTCTTTTTTAAAAAGATTTTATTTATTTATTATGTATACAACATTCTGCTTCCAGGTATATCTGCACACCAGGAGAGGGCACCAGATCTCATAAAGGATGGTTGTGAGCCATCATGTGGTTGCTGAGAATTGAATTCAGGACCTCTGGAAGAGCAGTCAGTGCTCTTAAGCTCTGAGCCATCTCTCCAGCCCTCAGCATTACTCTTTTATTATGTATACGTGTATACAATTTGTCCCCATGGACGAAGGGCTAGTTTCTATATTTCTTGCATTACATATAATTGGTGCTGTTAAACTATACTGTTAAGGGACTGGAGAGATGGCTCAGTGGTTAAGAGCACTGCTGCCCTTCCAGAAGACCAGAGTTCAATTCCCAGCATCTACCCGCCAGCACCAGTAATGACACACAAGTGATGGAGAGACATACCCGCAGGCAATATACTCATACATATAAAATAATTGAAAAGGGTGTACTTTATCTTGTGGTTAATTACCGTGATTTCCCCTTCTGTAAAACTGGCAGAAGAGTATGCACCCGTCGGTAAACTCAGACAGCTGGGAGTAAGCAGTATGACGGTTATCTTCTTGTTAAGATATTTAGAGACTGTCTGATTCATCTTTGATTGTTATGTGTTTCCTGTAATTTTGGGACGCTTGCCATTATTCTGAGAGAGCCCTTCAGTCATTGTCTTCTTAGTACACTGTTGGAATTTCTTTCCAAGTCTGTAATTTTTCTTTCTCACAGTCCTTTGGCACTCATGGTTCACAGCCCTTTGATTAAACCCAAGAGCCTCAGAGGAAATGGGCGGGGCGGAGGCCGCAGCACCTTGTGGGAAATGTAGTCCCGGACAGACTGCAGCACCCTTTGGAGAACCGTGGGAACGGCCGCGCCGAGGCTCTGCGCATGCGCCGTCTCTGACGGATACGCTTCCGGTTCTCCGAGGTCTTCTAGGCTAGGCTCCCGGCGCGACTGTTCCTCTGGGCCTTCTGGGAACTATAAGACAAGCGAGGATGCCCCGGAGCCAGGGGAAGACAGGGTAGCGAGCTCAGGGCAGAATCGGAGGGACCGGGGCCCTCGGAGGCCCGCGGGTGTCCAGGCGAGGCTGTTGGGCGTCAGGGGGCTGCAGGCCTCGGGGCGGGCATCCTGGCAAGGAGAGGTGTGTGCATGCAGAAATCGGATCGCAGTTAAGTCCAGCGATGCCCCTGAACCAGTAAACCCGGGCCTGCTTACAGTGAACTGCGGTTGAGGGAATGAGCAGGTCCAGGTTGGGCAGAATGGCGCTTCATTGGAGGGTCTGTCGTTTGGAGGGAAGGGATGCCAGTCTCCATCACTTCGGACAAACATAGTTTCCAATCTCTTTCGTCTGAGTTGCTGAAACCACGTCCATCACCACCCTGGGGGTTAATGACTTCCATCATCTAGAATGACAGTGTACCTACAGAGAAGGTTTTTGAGGTATTTAAACTTACCTTCTTTTCAAATGACCAAGGCAGCTATTTAAACCATTTAGGCACTTTGCTGGTGACAGAGCCAAGGATTTAATTCGGGTCTGTTGATTCCCAGGTCAGACTTTTCTTTGTACTCTACCACATTTAAGCAGAGACCTCCATGAAACTGCAGTTAAGGTCGGGGGTGCAGAGTGGAGGGGCAATCATCTTAAAACCCTCACTTTTTCTGTCTGGGTTTTCTGATCTCATCTGCTGAACGAATTAGTAGGAAAATAGGTGACACCAAAAATAAATAACCGATTAATTAATATCTTAATCTTAGAGTCACTTTCTTGCTGGACTGCTGTTCTAGGTTTTATATGTACTAAAGTTTATTGATCTGATCTCATGTGAACTCCTAAGTGTTGTTTGTTTGTTCTTTTTGTTTGTTTGTTTTTTAAGGAGGCATTAAGTAAGACAGCAATTCAGTTTAATACCTGGGTTTCCATTCACACAGCAAAGTTCTCACTGGTCCATTCAGAGCTACTCGTGGGCATTCCCTCAAGCAGCTGCTTCCAGTATGGTGGTGGTGAGAGGCCCTTTCCTTCCATGGTGTGTCTGCAAGCCGCTGTAAGAGCTGCCAGACTGCTGGCTGCAGCCCCATTCTTCCTCACCCAGCCCTTCCTTCTGTCACCATTCCTGGCCCCTTCTTGAGAGCTCCTGAAAATGGACAGTTCCCAGGTAAGTCACTGAGGGAGTAGCTTCCTTCTCGGGCAGTGGATTGATTGTCATAGGTTTGCAGTATATACACTCAGATGAAATGGTAGAAATATATAAAATTTAGCATCAAGGAAAATAAGGAAACAGATCAACACTAGAAAAGGGAAACTCAATAAACAAATTATTGTGGGGCATGACTTTAATCCCAGCATTTGGGATGCAGAGGCAAGTGGATCTCTGAGTTCAAGGCCAGCCTGTTCTACATAGATTTCCAGAACAGCCAAGGATACACAGAAAAAAACATCCCTGTAAGTTTATTCAAGTTGTACAAGAAAGACCCAAGTGATAGGAAGTAGGCTGTTGCCATGGTTTTTGATCATTTATTTATAAACATGTTCTTAGACAATCTTTGAGCAGATGATGCCAAGTCAGTTTTACCAACAACAGCTGTGGGTTTCCTGTGATTTACACCTTGGTAAAGTCTAGAATAAGTGGGTTGCTTTTGCCTCAAATGATGCCCTGTTACTATTTCTTTTTAGTAATTATTTTTCTCTCGTGCTTTTTTGGGGGTGGGGGGATGGGCCTAGATGGGCCTCAAACTGCTAATTCTCCTTCGGCCTCCTGAGTGTTTGCACTTGTCTTGCTAGCAGTACCCAACTAATGTTTCAGCGCCAGGGCCGTCGCAGCAGGTCCACACTACTTACAGGATGAAGGTTCAGTGTCCTTAGTTTGACTTAACAAGACCAGTCACTTCCTGGCCATTTCCTGCTCTTCTTTAGTCCCTGCCTCTCCTGTGTGTCAGTCATGTTATATAGCAAGCACTGTGTATGGATCACATTGTTATGTATCAAACACTGCACCATATACTGTACCTCTGGCTTGGCAAAAGCTAACACCTCTGTCCTTGTGCAGCTCACGCTGGTAGAGGAGTGGCTTTCCTGTGACTGACACCTAGGCAAGGCTCAGATCATTATAAACAGATTTGCCATTGGTGTGACCAGGACTTTAGAAAGTTACATAAGACTTGGGGCGCCTCTTCTTTGTAAGGCTGTCCCACACATTGTGGGACATACCACATATCTGCCATCCCTTGCCCCATGTCCCCCTGCCAGAAGCTACTTAACATCCCACTGAACTGCAGCAGCCAGCCATTGGTGCCCAGCTGTGTAGTATGACCCCAGAAGCAGGTTTCAGCTGTGTTGGACCCCAGAGCAGAAGGGTAGTATGGTGCCTCTAGTCTCCTGGTCATGTACCAGCCTTTACTTTGCACCAGTTCCCTACTATTTAAAAGGATTCCTTAATTCTTCAGGTTACTTGAGATCACAGACAGAGCCGTTTCGTTGTAGAACCCATTCGTGTTCCTCCCTTTGATTCTCCAGGCTATATGTTCAGGGAGCAGAGCAGCTGTCTCCATTTCTGCATCAAGTTAGGGTCTATGTGCACATTACCTGTGGGGCTCCCTATGTGTGAAGCCATCAGCCTTTGAAAGTGTGGGCCCATGGCCACTCCTCTCTGTGCCTCTACCCCTGTGCCCCTTATGGTGAGGTTTCTCATTCTCTTCTTTTTGTTTTTCCTTTTTGCTTCTTCCTAGGCTGCAGAGGGTTGCTTACAGCATTGACCTGAGTCCCCAGAGTGTTTTTCATCATTTCTTATGAGCACCATTCAGTCTCTTCCACAGGGAGCGTGCTCTCTCTCTCTTGCTGTGGGCTATATGTTGTTAAGGGCAGCTGAGTCCGTCTGTGCTTACCGAGGACTCACAAGTCAGCTCCTCATCTGACTCTCACTGGCCTCTTCCTTCTAACATTCTTGCAGTCAGCCTCTCTGGTTGTCAGGAGTGTATGTATCCATCATCTTGTCTAGGTTATAATGGAAATTATAAAGTACTGTTTGTTACCAGGGAGCTTATTTTGGAGGGGAAGATTCATAGAGAATATTTAATATGGGTAGTGAGTGAACTGCTTCTAGGAGACAACCCTGAGGGAAGGGTGCTGTGATGCATGTGTGCAGATGTGTGGCAGATGAGGGAGAAAGGCTCAGTGACCTGCGACAGCTATGCATGAGCTATGCATGGAGTATGTGTCAGGCCTGCTGCACAGGGAGCACGTGGGCTTCCGCAGACCTGGGGATGGTCATGTGTTACTACTGCACTTGGAAATGAATTCAGACAAACGTAAATACAGGAAAGTCACAGTTCTCATGAGCACTTTGCCTGGCATCTTGGGCCTGTCAGTACTGAAGTGCAGTGATCAGAACCAGGAAAACCTGCCAACCCCGTTCTGTCTTTGTACAGACTGCAGTGCAGACCATACTGTCTTCGGCTCAGGGGTCCAGGGCTACCTTTGGTTGTCATGTCTCCATGGCCTCTTGCAGCCTGGGATGGCCCTTTGTCTCTCATGACCTTTAAGTGGCCAGTTACCCTGTAGAACACATTCTGTCTGTTGTCCTTATTTGTAACTCCACTGTCTTGTGACCTACACTCTGTTGACTTACCTCCAGCCGGGTTCTCCCTCCATTCCATGTCCTGTTTTTATTTCACTACTCTGTTGGTTTTGTTTTTTGGCGGTGGCGACAGGGGGTGTGGTGTGGTGTGGTGTGGTGTGGTGGCACATTGCTGCGGTTCTGAGCCACACGTCTATGGAAATGCCCTTGCCCTTGTCTCTTCCGCCCCTCCTCCATCCCATTGTTTTCTCCCTCTATCCTGCTGCTGAAGGTGACAAACTCATTCATTCCTGGTTGGCCTTTCTGTATGGGTTTTACACGGCTGTTGCATCTGTATTTTCTGTCATCTCCTCCTTTCTTACCTAACTTTACCCTGTAGAGATCTTCGTGCCTTTTTCTTCCTTCACAATGCCACCTAGAGCTCATTCTAAGTCAGTTTAGAGACTTCCTCATTTGCCCTCAGCTGCCGTCTCCCATTGCCATTCTCACTCCTTTGAGCTCCAAAACCAAATGTCCACTAACCAGGGTAGCTGTCTTTACCCCTTTTCTCCACAGACACTTTGAGCACAGCCTTGCAGGTTGGGGCCCTAGCTTCCTGTGCTGGTGTCCGGGTGGAAGATGTTTATTGATGGCTTCCTAACATTGGCATATGATGTTGGCATGTGCCCAGCTCTGGTCATGCCATACAACCTGCTCATAATGTCTCCAACCCACATGTGGTCAACAGTTAGTGGAGTACTTTTATCTCACACCTACTGACACTCCCTGTAGAAGAACTCCCTGGTTTTCTCCCTTTGATTGGCTCTTTAGCTGTTGTTTCCCATGTGTTCACGTATGGACAGCAAGCTTCTTCTGGGGGACCAGGTAGTAACTGTTTACAGTTTTGTCTGGATTCAGTCTCTTTTAGCTCTGGATGCGGCAAACTGTGAATCAGGCACTGGCCAGATTCAGCTGCTGTGGCCAGATTTGGCCCATAAGCGAGGGCTTGTTGCCTCTAGAATGTACATTGGGTCCCGCTGCTCCAGGTGTTTACAAACACCTCTGGATTTGGGTGGTTCACTCCACCGGTCTCCAGAGTGGAGGACGAGGAGCCCCTCCCCCCTCCCCCAGCAGTCCCCATACTTCTGTTCATGTTCATAACTTGGCCAGAAGCATGGGAAAACAACAAATCGTTATTGGTGTTCACATGGTTATTGGGATTAACATACTGGTTAACTTAGAGTTACATTATGATTTCCAGGTAAGTACATGGGTCATTTGTACATGAAAGAGTGCTTTACTGATGTGTTGCAGTGTAGATAACTGATTGTAGGGCAGGGTGCCCATGTGCTCTGCCCACTCCCCAGGTTTCTTTCCTACAGAGGTAGCTCTTAGACTGTCACGTGTCTTCCGCCTCTGTGTGTTTCTCAATGAACACTCTGTGCCAAGGCACACCTTATGTGAGGACTAAAATAATCATCTCACAGAAGTCTGATGGCACAAATAGGACCATTTGTGGCCACCCTTTGTCTATCATATACTTCTGCCTGAAGTGCAGTTCCTGCTTGTGTCACTTGTCATACTGGGTGCTCCTTGAGAGCACTGGCCAAATTGCACATGAGTCAGTAATCTGGGAATTTCTGGGCACAGTATAATCTCTGCACATTTAAAAGGCTCATCCATAAATAGTGATCAGTTTCTATTCTTTCATCCCCCATGAAGTATCTCTCCATAGCTTAACCTTGGCCATAGCAGCACCCTCCTTGTGTTTGATATTCTCACAGATTTGCTGTTGCTCAGTTCTGATTATCTCGGATGAAACATGTTCTTTCAGAGATTAGTTTCCTTCAAGGACTTGACTGTGGACTTCACCCGTGAGGAGTGGCAGTACCTGGGCCCTGCTCAGCGCCTCCTATACAGAGACGTGACGCTGGAGAATTACAGGAACCTCATCTCATTGGGTGAGTGCCGTCTCCACATGGCACCCAGAGCTAGCCTTTCTTCTGTGTCGCAAGAGCATGGGGAAATATTAGAATTGAATTCTCTCTCCTTGAGTAACATGTACTTTGCGTGTACATGCATTGGCATGCATGTACCTGCCCTTCACTAATTTGTACCGGCCTCATTGAGCTGTTGTTGGGCATCTTGGTTGCTCAGTTTCCCCATCCTTGAGTCCTTGAAGTTCACAGAACTTGGCCCAAGTTGCATACTGTTTCTCATTAACAGGGTTTCGTGTTAGCAAACCAGAAGTGATCTTAAAATTGGAGCAAGGAAAAGAGCCTTGGATAGTGGAAGAATTGTCAAGTCAGAACCATGCAGGGAAGTGTGAAGACCGAGCAGGTAAATACCAAAGCCTTCAAGTCCCAGGCTGCTTAGTGGTCACAGCTGACACCTATGATCTTTTTTTTCTGGAATCTTCTAGGACCTAGAGCTCTAGAAGTGATTGAGGAAACTAGCTCCTATGCTGTATATACTAAAATGTTCTGTCCAAATAAATGTTTTCATATAAAAATGTTTGGCTGTATACATTCCATCCACAGAACCCACTGATTTCTTCATTCTTCCCCCACTCTGCCCACCGAAGGGCCTGGCTTCTTTCCTGCCGTCCAGCCCCACTCAACTCCCACTCTTGCTTTCCATTCTCGGTTGCATTTGTACAAACTCCAAAGTTCCCAAGTCACTGAAAGGATTTCCAGTTCGCCCCTTCCTCCTGGTGTCTTTTGAACATTGGCTTTCGGAGGGTTGCTTCACCTGCTCTCTTAGGTTCCCATGGGATCCTTGTCCATTTCACCCTGTCAGCCATCGGTGCAGGGAATGTTGGAGACTGTTCCATGTGGGACTGTTTCTGTCAGCGTCCACAGCTCTTGTGTTCTTCGCCAGTTTCTTCTTTCTTTGACACCGTTGAGGAAGACGGTATAGGTGAATTTGCTTTTCTTCCTTCCTCCCCTTCCTCTCATCCTTTTGTTATTGTTTGTTTTCCCTATAAATACATAAAGTAGCAGCTATTTACACATGAATCTCTAACCCAGGGAAGCCAGCTCTGAAGGACTTGGCCCCCATAAGCCTTTGTGCAGGCTGTCATTTCAATGGTGCACAGAACTCACATATTAATGTCAGTCCCGTTCCTCCCTTCCAGAAGATGACGATACCTCAGAGAAAAACAAGGGAATACAGGACAAACATTTGAAGCAGTTCTTAGCCTTCAGTAACAAAACGATGCCAGAAAAAGCCACTCTGTTTGAGAAAACAGTTGCTCTTGACATCAATACTGTTTCTTCAGAAAAAACATTCCATAAATATGACCCAGGTGGGAATGGCTTGAAAACTAAATCAGAAGAAACTGTTGCAAAGCAAAGCAGAGAAAATACAAAGGTAATTGCTGAGCCTGATGGGTGTGAGAAGCCACTGCTCCACACAAAGCCTGACAAAAGCCATTCTGTGACAAAACGGAATGGATGTGATGAGGTTAGGGGTGTTAGGAGTCAAGGGGAAGCGCTTACTCAAGACCAGAGCATCCAGTCTCTAAGTCAACCTTCTGAACATAAGGGTGGGGAACCCGTCCTTCAAAAGTCAGCCCACTCTGCAGGAACGGGGGAAGGTGCTGAAAGAAAACGAAACGAATGTGTGGAGTGTGGAAAAACCTTTTCTAAGAGGTCCACCCTCATTGTACATCAGAGAATCCATACAGGAGAGAGACCCTATGCTTGTAGTTATTGCAGGAAAACTTTTCGTATAAAGGCAAGCCTCACTCGGCACCAACGAATCCACACTGGGGAGAGGCCTTATAAATGCCAAGAGTGTGGGAAAGCCTTCATTGACAAATCTGCTCTCATCGTGCATCAGAGAATTCATGGGGGAGAGAAGTCCTATGAGTGTACCGAATGCGGCAAGACCTTCTTTCGGAAGTCAGCCCTGGCTGAGCACTTCCGATCGCACACAGGGGAGAAGCCTTACAAATGCAAGGAGTGTGGGAATGCCTTTGGCAAGAAATCTTACCTCATCGTACACCAAAGAACTCACCGAGGAGAGAAGACAAACGAATGTAAGGAATGTGGGAAAACCTTCTTCTGTCTGTCAGCCCTGACAGCGCACCAGAGGATTCACAGCGGGGAAAAGCCCTACGAGTGCCCCGAGTGTGAGAAGACCTTCTTTTGTCAGTCGGCCCTCAGTGTGCACCTGAGAAGCCACACGGGAGAGAAGCCCTACAAATGCCACCAGTGCGGCACGTCCCTGTGCACTAAGTCTGCTCTCGCTGCGCATCAGGTCATCCACGGAGGCAAGACGTCCTTGGAATGCAGTGAGTGCGGGAAGCTGTTCCACCTTAAGACAACACTCGCCATACATCAGAGAACTCACGCCGGAGAGAACCACGGCGAGCTTAGTAAATGGGGTCACGCACCCACTGCCAATTCCAACGGCAGTGAGCAGAAAAAAGTGGACCCGAAGGAGAATCACTACGAGTGCCACGAGCACAAGCCCACAGTCCACAGAAATTCGCACCACTTTGCACATAGGAGAACCATATGGGAGAGGCCTTACGAGTGTCACGAGTGTGGGAGGACCTACTGCCGGAAGTCTGCTCTCCGGCACCATCAGATGACACACACAGGAGAGAGGCCCTATGAGTGTAAGGACTGTGGCAAAACCTTCTACCAGAAAGTCTCCTTTATCGAGCACCAGCGAACTCACACTGGGGAAAAACCACATAAGTGCAAACAGTGCGGGAAATCTTTCCGCCACAAGTCAGCATTCACAGTGCATAAGAGAATTCACACAGGGGAGAAGCCGTATTTGTGTAATGAGTGTGGCAGAAGCTACCGTCGGCTCTGGACTCTGACTGAACACCAGAAAATACACACAGGGGAGAAACCCTATGAATGTAACACATGTCAGAAAACATTTCGCCATAAGTCAAACTTCCTTTTACATCAGAATACTCACAAGAAGTAAATTCCAGCAAGGCAACAGGTAATTTACATAATGCTCAGATCCTGAATTATGCATGAAGGAGCGATACTGTGTCAGCATCTGGACTACTGGAAGATTTCCTGCTGACGTCAGGCCTGTGACACCCCCAGAGAGCTCACATAGGCAACGTACAGTTTATTTTATGAACTTGAGACTTTCAGTGTGGTCTGTGAAAACATTTAACATTTCAAACATTACACCAGGTGTGCCTGCCTTCCTTTCAAATCCTGAAACAAATATTAACCCTACCTGTTGCCCTCCACAGTCAATTTACATGGTGTATGTTGCCAGATGTGAGGATCCAGCCTGGATTCCAGATCACTACCAGTTGTTCCTGTGATAACTGAATATTTTCTATTTATGAGTTTACAGTATTAACAGCTCAGACTATACAACCCACTCGTCTTCTGTCCCTGTTGTTGTCTAGTGACAGACGCCAACCCCTTTTATCTGCAGAAGTGAGGAGGCAGACTAACCATAGTGACAGACCTCAACCCCTTTATCTGCAGAAATGAGGAGGCAGACTAACCATAGTGACAGACCCCAACCCCTTTATCTGCAGAAGTGAGGCGACAGACTAACCATAGTTCCCCTTGCCCACCTGCAGCAACTCTCACGTGAGTGAGCATTTGCTGAGGCCGAGTCACTGGAGTTTTCTCATGAGGGGTAGCGTGTAAGTGCCCCTGGAGCTTTCAGGTAAGCTAAGAAAACAGCGATTACAGGTACCATAACAAGAACAGAAAAATGTAGTAAGCAGATTTGAATAGTGAAGAGGATTTGGGGAGTGTTGGAATTAAAACGCTGTCTCTGCTTTAGTATTTTAAATACCTCTGTCCCCTTAGTGGTTTGGTTATGTCAGTGTTTAAAAGAAAAAAAAAAGAATCTCAAATTTCTAATAAACATGTCAGAAGGGGTGTTATTTAGAATCTACTTATCAGCTTCTGAGTAAAGGTCTCTGTGGTGCCAAATAGAATCACATCTAGCCAGAATGCCATTCATGTGGGGTTAATGTCAAGTCCTGGTAGCCAGCCCTGTGCTCTGATGTGTTATCATTTCCTAGGACAATGAAGTGAGTTTATTTCATTGACAAAACAAAGAAGAGCCACTGGGTATCTTGTCCTGGGCCTTGGCTGTGACCAAGCTGACAAAGTGGCATAATGCTGTCACTTGGCTGATCAGCCCCCCAGGAGTGGCCAGGCTAAGTTGTATCTGTAACTCAGTCTCTCTTTGGCCTGTCTGCTGCCTTTGGTTGTGATGTTGGGTTCTTGGTGGGGAGAGCTGCCCTTGGTTTGAGACCCATCGGAAATTCCAATGTGAACAGGAGTGGTCTGTTTGTTCAGTTTCTATTTTATATCCTTCAGCAAGGTAAACACAGTTGTGAATGCACATCTATTTGATGCATATAATATATGCTGAAACATGAATATATGTGGTGTATCAATAATCTTTTCCTGAAATTTTTAGTAATTACTTAAAAGATTTGCTTGCTTTTGCAAATGGAATTTTATCATTTGTTTTTAAAATTACTGACGGAGGCCTGACAAGGACTAGCAAGCAAAGGTGCTTGCTGGCAGGCATGACAACCTGAGTTCAATCTTTGGGCCCCACATGATAGGAGAGAACTGCTTTTCTTGCAAGTTATCTTGGCTTCCACAAGTCTGATTGGCACGCGCACACACAGAAATAAATAAATAAAAGTTAAAATGTTTTTTAAAACTGATAGAATTCTCAAGAATTTTTATCAAGTTTGTCAGAATGTATCCCTATGCTTACGTTTCTTTGCTTGGTCCTTTAACACAGCTCCTTATAAAGGAAGTTTGTGAGCTGTTTTGTGTAGGTATTTTTGCCCTCTGAAGATCTGTGCCCTAGATGTCTAGTCCTGCCTTCTGCTTGCCATTGGGTTATGCCGCAAATCACAATTCTGTGGTTACTGAATTGTTGGCCTTTATTAGTGTATAGAAGAGTGCTGTGTACCAGGGTAGGGGGGCGGGGGCAGGTGTTTTTTCAAGTCTGATGAAAAAGTATAAGTCTACAAACAGAGGATCAGTCAAACACAGAAAATAACAAGTCACATCAAAGTAAAACTTGAAGATCCAGTGAGAGGGCTCAGCTGGTAATGGTCCTTGTTCTGTAAGCCAGCAATTCAGGACACTTGTAAAGGTGGACAGAGAGATCAGCTCCACAGGTTACCCTCTGACCATACCTGGACACCCAGGCACACAAGCAAAAACAATATTTAAAGTTGTTAAAAAAACAAACCTTTAAGACACATAAAATCAAAACTAATTAATTGGAGAAAAAAAATCTTTAAAAACTTTGAAAGAGGGGCTGGAGAGATGGCTCAGAGGTTAAGAGCACCAACTGCTTTTCCAGAGGTCCTGAGTTCAATTCCCAGCAACCACATGGTGGCTCACAAGGTTATAAGATCTGGTGCCCTCTTCTGGTGTGCAGATATACATGGAAGCAGAATGTTGTATACATAATAAATAAATAAATCTTTTTAAAAAATAAAAATAATAAAATAAATAAAAACTTCGAAAGGGAACAGTGACATGTGGGGGGTGTGAGTGCTCTGTAGCTGCTGAAAGAAACTGCCACACTGGTCAGAAGAATGGATTTCATCTCACAAGACCCGGGGCAGCAAGCCTGCCTCCTGTGACTGCTGGAGGTTGGCTAGGCTTCTGATGCATCCCCTGCCTGCAGCTTGCGCCAACATGTTCTCACTGCACATGTCTGTCTATGGTTCCCTTTTATCAAGACTCATCTGATCAGGACCCTGATCAGGGTCCCATCTTACTCAAGCATGCCCTCATCTTAATGACTGACATCTGTAATAGCGTCATTTCCGTAAGGTCGCATTCAGATGAGAGTTAAAGGCTGTGAGGTATCTTTTGGCATCCTAAAGTTTACCCCCATGTTTACCAGATTAAAATAACAATAGATGGTTGTTGTGTGAGACTTTTCCTGGGGAGATGCAACATACCTACTCACCCTAGAAATAAAACCTATTCCAGACCATTGGGGTTACTAACAGGAGTATGGTGGAGGGGTTGCTCAGAGGAGCAGGGATGACCCAGAAGCATCCGCATCATCGAAAATCCCACAGCAGCATGGGTGATGAAAGCTGCACCCTGGAGCTCCCTGCACAGGTTTCAGAGAGTCTCTGCAGCAAGGCTGGTCCATCTCCTTAGCATTTATTGACAGCATCTATAGAGGATCTGAGAAGCTTCCAGGTTTCAACTTTCCTGAACAATGTGGTAAAAGACAGGTATGATCACTTGCCACCAACAACCTATGTCTGATCCCCAGGACCCACATGGTAGAGGCAGAGAACCAACTCCTGCAAGCTGTCCTTTGGTCCCTCTGCATACACAATTTGACACATGCATCTGTATCCGCCAACACCCTCCTCCCCCCACATACACAAGTAAATGTATTTTTTTTTAATGAAGTTTTCCTTGTTGCATGTGTTGGGATCTGAAAGGAAATTCTAGGAAGGGATCATAGTTTTTCTATTGCTGCAATAAAGACATCGTGACCAAAAGCAACTTAGGGAGGAAATGACTTGTTTCATCTTAGAGCTTGTAGTCCATACCCATGGGAAATGAGGACAGGAACCTGGAGGCAGGACCTGAAGCAGAGGCCATGGAGTAGCAGTGCTTATTGGTTTGCTCAGCCTGCTTTTTTTATACCACCCAGGGCCACCTGTCCAGGATGGCACCACTCCGAGTGGGCTGGGGCCCTCTGAAGCAATCAAGTAAATTCCCCACTGGTCAGTCTGGTGATGGCATCCTCCAATCGAGGTTCCCTCCTCCCAGATGACCCCAGTCTGTGTCAAGTTAACAAAAATCCAAGCACAAGGATGGAAGGAAGTTCTGTTTGGGGCAGTGAGTCGAGCTGGAGTCTGGTACACAGGGGAGCGAGTCTTTTGATGATAGAAATGGTGTTGCCCTGCTGGTTTGTCTGGCAATGGGTGAGTGAACAGGATGCAAGCTTGTGGACCCTCATTCTAATTCTCCTATTCTGCCAGTGAAGGGAGAGTCAACTCATTCTCTGAAATCAGGAGCCAGGTTTCAGAGATTGTTCATCACTAATGGAGCTGACAGCCTTCAGTTCTGCACTATTGCCTCGCGGCATCCTACTGTGGAAAGTCTTGGTATTTAGGCAAGTCTCCCTTTTCTCAGCTAATGTTTTCATGTGATGCCTTAGAGTGCCTTGTTGCTTGCAGGAGCACAGAGAGAGTGCTGTCCACTGACGACATACAGTTAGACCATGCTCAAATTACTTGGTGATCTCATCTTCCCTCCTGGTTCACCCGGAAGCTAGTTTCATGGACCAGTCAGTCTCAGTCTAAGGTGGGCACAGTGCCCCTGAACGGGCTGTGTGAGTGAAGCCAGTGGGAATACTTGGGAAAGCCTGGGCTTCCTGCACAGCAGATCTGGAGTAAAGTGTTTAAAAGTTGCATCTGATGCCCTCTGTCCCCCTAGGACCCCTCCGCAAGGAACTGTATCAGCAGGGATCTCTGGCCACCAGATGTCTGGTTGAGTGTCCCAGTCAATGACTATCTTCTGTAGTATGAGCTCTCTCCAGGTCCCCAAGTTGTATGCTTCCTGTGTCATTCCAGATTTGGTCAAAAGCAGAGACTACAATTGCTTACAGGGTCTATTGCTGACCCTAAGTCCAAAGGCATGGCTGACTCGCTTCTTCCAGAAGCTGCTGAGATGTACAGCTTTTTCTCTTAAACTCTTAAAGTGGTCTGCAGCTCTGTGTGTGTGTGTGTGTGTGTGTGTGTGTGTGTGTGTGTGTGTGTGTGTGTGTGTACACGCACACACACATATGTAAACAGGTTTGGCAATAAGCAACTGTGGGAAAGCTGTAACATGATTGAACCCATATCTATTGCCTTGGCTTGAAATCTACAGGCTGGGGAGTCACGAAGAGAAAGTGATCACCAAATGACAAAGTCAGGCTGGCCCCACAAAAGCAGATGAGCTCGTGTCTTCAAGTGAGTGTTCTATGGAAGTGACACCATCTGTGGTGTTCCTTGTTGTGGAATACTAGTTTTGAGATGTGTTCATTTGTCTATGCTATGGAGCATGTTTAACGATGCAAAGTTGTGTTACATTCTTTTATGTTACATTTGTTTAATTGTCAAGCTGTGTTACTTTGTCTGCCTAAAACACCCGATAGGTCCAGTGAAGAGCTTAATGGCCAATAGTTAGGCAGGAGAAACGACAGCCAGGGCTGGCATGCAGAGAGAGAATAAATGAGAAGAGAAAGGAGTGAGAAGAGGAGAGGATACAGGAACCAGCCACACAGCTACCCAGACAGACACAGAATAAGAAGGAAAGAAAATATATGCAGAAATAGAGAAGGAAAAAGCCCAAAGGCAAAAAGGTAGATGGGATAATTCAAGTTAAGAAAAGCTGGCTAGAAATAAGCCAAGCTAAGGTCAGGCATTTGTAAGTAAGAATAAATCTCCATGTGATTATTTGGGAGCTGGGTGGTGGGCCCCCCAAAGAGCAGACTATCAAAAACTACAGTTCCCATACTTTAGACACTGAACAGCTTGACCTAAGTGGAGACCAGAAGGCCAGGGGATAGTGTTGCCCCAGTCAGAGCTGTTCTTGTAGTTATTTCCTCAGCCTGGGGTGCAGCAGAGACAGAACTGAGCACTAGAATACCATTGCTGAAAGGGCTTCTCGAGGCCCTTTGTCTTCAGAAAACATGTTCCAGCAGCCCAGAGTGTCACCTGCTATACACCTAATCTACATAGTACAGGCTACTGGCCTGTACAGTATGCTCTGTCAGACAGAGACAGCGTGCTGAGCACAGTGCTCAGCTTAACAAACATGTGCATCTAAACAAAAAAGACACAATAAGGGAGCTGCCTGACTCCATTACTTTCTCATTGCTGTAAGAAAGTATCCTTTAAAAGCAAGTTAAGGGAGAAGAGGTTTGTTTTGGCTTAGGGTTCCAGAGGGACACAGTCCACCATGGTGTGGAAGATGTGGCAGCTGGCATGGTGGCATGAGCTGGAGGCTGCAAAACTGCAAGGCCTTGAGGCCCCACCTCCTGGGAGTTCTGAACTTCCCCAAACAGCCACCAGGTGGGAACCAGGCGTTCAGACACTTTGGCCTATGGGGCGTGTTTCACGTTCACATTCACACCACAGTAAGAATTTCCAGCTCCATTGCAATCTTACGGGCCCACTGTTGTCTATACGGCTTTGTCAATCGAAGCATCCTCATGTGTCACATACCCTTAGACACCAAATAAATTCACTTTTGCCAATAAAAAGTAAAACGTCGATCATCAGTCTCTGTCTTGGTTTCTTTTCCCATCTCTGTGATAAAAATATTTGAACGAAAACAGCTTAAAGGGAAAAAGTGTTATTTTGTTAGACCCCCAGAAAGCTCAGGCTTCCAGGGTCTTAGCCCAGGACCTCGGTCACCCCAATCACCAGGCAGATTCGAAAGCTTGTTTGCAAACAGCATGAGGCTTTATTGTTTAACGAGCTAACCTCATGTTAGCTCGGGTCTTCCACCCACCCGCCATGGCAGGTGGCTAGCAAACAGTTCAAACCACCTGCATAGAGATCTTGTAGGGCAGCGTAAGGGGAGTGTCTAGGGGGACGCACAGGCTCAGGATTGGTGTGCCTCCAGGCTTGGAGGGTTTGCCCTGTGCTGATTGACCAACTGGTTGTTATGGCCCATAGAC